CGCCACACTGCTTTCCACAGAGGTTGCACTAGTTTACACTCCCACCAACATTGTAGAAGTTTTTTAAATACTTAGGACTTTAATATGGTCACTTAGGTGGTGAGAGGTAAAATGAAAGAATACATTTTGACTGTTAGATTTCTAGACTCTGGCCTCTTTGTATGTGTCCATTAATGAGATGGAAACTTGTATAACTGGGTATGAGGAGGAAGGCAATTAGTTCATTTTAGGACATATTGAGTTTGAGGTGTGTGGGAACGTTCAGCTGGAAATATGAACTGTAATTCAGGAAAGATATGAATCCATAATTTGGGCTTATAGGCCTATAAGTGAATGGAAAATGTGTAGAGTGGGAAGTACTCACCCAGAAGCCTGCATCTAAGGGTCATCTATTACCACATTCTTTAGTACTAGCAAATGAAAATGTGTTAAAAGTTTGTTTAGGGGAAAGTTATCTAAAAGTGACTTTTATGTTTAGCAGTATTTAGTATTCTTCTAAGGACACAGGAAAGTATTTCTAAATTTTAATTTTTCATTTATTTGTAGGAAATGTGCACTGTTGAAGAACCCAATGAAGAGTTTACATCTAGACATAGTTTAGAATGGAAATTTCTATTTCTAGATCACAGGTAACACTACTTTTAAATTCCATGGAAAGGTAATAGTCGTGTATATAATTTTTTACATTAATGGATTTTAAGGACAAACTTTTTTTCTAATCAGGGCTTTGAAATGTTACCCATATTAGCCAGGCACAGTGACTCACACCTATAATCCTAGCACTTTGGGAGGCTGACGTGAGAGGATTGCCTGAACCCATGGGTTCAAGACCAGCCTAGGCAACTGGGCGAGACCTCATCTCTACAGTCAATCAAAAAATTAGCCAGGCGTGGTAGCACGTGCCTTTAGTTCCAGCTACTTGGAAGGCTAAGACAGAAGGATTACCTGAGCCCAGGAGGTAGAGGCTGTGGTGGCCGTGAGCCTGCCACTGCCCTCCAGCCTGGGCGACAGAGTGAGACTCCAACTCAAAAAAAGGAAAGAAAAAAAAGAAACATCACCCATTTTGAAAAAGTAAAGCCCCCCAAATTTGATTTCTAGTTGGAATATTTCTTAGTATGGAAAAACTTATAATACTGATTATTTTATATGTAATTAGGGCACCACCCATAATAGGATATTTGCCATTTGAAGTTTTGGGAACATCAGGCTATGATTACTATCATGTGGATGACCTAGAAAATCTGGCAAAATGTCATGAGCACTGTAAGTAGATTTTGATATTTCTGATGATAATAATGTTTTTAAAATCATAGAAACAAAAGTCTTGTCCTACAACGGAAGGTGGTAAAATACTGATTTACAGTAATTTTTATATTTTTGAAATGTACCATAAGATTTTGCTTTATGTGTATAGCCAATCTAATAGAAATAGTAGATCAAATTTAAGTTAAACTTGTTCCTATTTTATATATTGCAGTTTATAATAGTAAGTACAGTTTTACAACAAGGCATCGAATACATCGTGTTCTGAAGTGTGTAAGCTTTATAGCTGGAACAAGAGAAGTAGAGTCCTTTGGAAACTATAATAGTATAGGCGAAACTTTTGGAATACTGTTTCATAAATTTTTATTTTCAGGCATGTAAGTCTTTCCCGGAACTAGGAGAACATTTGGAAAGCTTGTAGTAAATGCTTGGTATTGTTACCTGCTTGTGATTGTTACCTACTCCAAGGATACTACCATCTTACTATGCTGGGGACTATTCTAAGCACTTTACGTATATTGTCTGAGTTACTCTGCGTCACTCTTTCAGAAGGTAGATACTATTATTGTCATGAGTAAACTGAGACATGGCAAAGCTAAATACTCCACCCACAGCCCTATAGCTTGTTGGTGGCAGAGAGAGGATTGGCATCTAGGCCTGCTCTTTTATTTGTTTTCGAGGTTTGTTTTAAGGATAGGTTTTATTGGCGTCTCTGATCTTCCTTCACTCCTTCACTGCTGAGTATTCTCTAAAGCCTAGCTAGATATTTAGGATACTTTCATGATGCTCTATGCTGCTCTGGTACACCTCTTTATATGAAAGTGAAGCATTAGATATGGAAAATTTTCAGAGTAAAGTCATTTCAGCACAAAAGAAAACATTCACTCTATATGACGTGGGCACGAAGCACCATGTTGTGAAAAGACCTGACATATCCGTTCACTAACTGGATGATTTTGGACAGTGAGTTAATGTTTGTAGACTCAATTTCCTCAGAGACAGACTAGTCAGAGAGAGACACAGAGACAGAGAGGCAGTGAGAGAGAGAGAGAGAGAGAGAGGACTGTGTAGTCAAGGAAGACTGGGAAACACTTGATAATCTCTCAGAGGATTTTCACATACATTCGCATACCCAAGGTTTTGAGAAGACTAAAAACACCTATTTAACAAAAAGTTTTCCAAATTAATTTAACCACAAGCCCATTTTTTTGCTTAATATCTGTTAAAAGGCTTCAGAACTTAAAATCATCAGCACATGGTTTGGGAACTACTACATTTAACAGTTATTTCAAACAGTGAAGTTATTCTTATTTTAGTTAGTTAAGATTTGAAATTAAATGCCTCAAAGATGCTGTACCTGCCAGAGTATCTGGGGAAAAAAGTTCAGGTGTGATTACTTATTGTTGTGACCCTCAGTATATCTAGGTAGGAGGAAGTCAACAATGTGAATTTTTGAGTATTTGGAAGTTTATTGTGTATGAAAGGAGTAGAAGATCAGCAATGACTGGCTGTAAGCTGGGTACTGTAGAAGATCTGATAATTGCTTGGGACCATAAGTGAGCTCTAAAGACTACCATTTTCTTACTGATAGGTGTTTTTAAAACCAGAAAAAGAGTTATATATGTAGATTTTAATGTAAGTGATAGCTTTTGGTTAAAAGAAAAACCAGATTCTTCATAACTAATAATATGGATTAAAGAAAAAATATTTTTCTCTTTTCTCTTTAGTAATGCAATACGGGAAAGGCAAATCATGTTACTATAGGTTCCTGACCAAAGGGCAACAGTGGATTTGGCTTCAAACTCATTATTATATTACTTACCATCAGTGGAATTCAAGACCAGAGTTTATTGTTTGTACTCACACTGTAGTAAGGTAATAATTATTTTAGAGACTAATTCTGAGTTATAATAACATCCTATGGTGATTTTTGGTAATGTAATTTTTATATGATTTGTTAATGAACTACAAAATGATCTTTTTCAATTTTTGATACATCCTTTCAATATGTTATTAAATTTACTTACAGACATTATATATAAATATAGGCATATATAAGCACAATACATAAATATAGGCATGATGTAGATATATAATGCTTAACATAAATTTGGTGCTTTACAGCAGAAGTTATAACTATCATTTATGCACCAAAGCAATCATGTAAGAAGAAAACTGTAGGTAGATAAGCATACTCTTACTTAGCTCCTCTTAGTTTAAATACTGTGTGGCTATGGATCATTTATAATAGCATATAAAACTTGAAGGTACCTAAAAAAAATGCAATTTGAATTAAGACAATACACTGTAGATATAGTTTAGGTTTGTGTAGCACATAGAAAATAGTCTAGAATTGGTGGTGAACAAGTGAGGCACATAACAAAATATTTCATATACATATAAAACATAACTAAAAATGATTGCAGTTTTGCAGTATTTTAAATGAATAACCAAACACTAAAATTTGATTTTTTTTCCATTTATAGTTATGCAGAAGTTAGGGCTGAAAGACGACGAGAACTTGGCATTGAAGAGTCTCTTCCTGAGACAGCTGCTGACAAAGTATGTTTCTTGTCACTTTTAAAAATTATCTAAAATTTCTTTCCAACTAAAGCCAAGACTCAATAATTAATAGAAAAATAATTTATCAAATATTTTATTTCCTCACTGTGACAAGGATGTGATTATACGTTACAATTTTTTATTTTAACTTAATATTTGAAAATCTCATCTTCTAAAAAAATTGAACTTCCTGCCACTTAGCAATAATTGCTTGAGAGGCATTATCTGATCTCAGATTAGAGCTGTCATGTGTTAATTGCCGATGATGTACTGGCTAGGTTCTTTAACTGAATTATGAAATGTGATTTATTTGCTAGATATTTTTATGTAGTAGGTAATAGCTCCACTTCGAAAATACTGAAACTGAGGTTTAAAGGGACAGGGGAAACCTCCTCTAGAGACAATGGCTAGAAAATTATAGTTAGAATTTGAACTCTACTCCTTTTTGTTGTTGTTATATCAGGTAGAAGTGTAGTAACACTTTACTCCAAAACTTAGTGATGTAAAACAACACACATTTATTATGAGTCAGGAATCCAGGCACAGTTTGCTGGGCCCTCTACTTCAGTTTTCATCATGAGGCTGCAATCAAAGTATTGGGAATCAACTCCAAGTTAATCTGAAACAGAATCTGTTTCTACCTCACTCAGTGGTTGTTGGCACAGTTCAGTTCCTCATGGGAAGCTGGACTAAGGGCCTTGGTTTCTTGCTGGCTGGTGGTCAGAGGTCAGCCTCAGTTGCTCTACAGGTAAACCTTCCACTAGAGCAAACATGCAAGAAGATCCAGGGAGAGAAAATAACAGCAAGATGGAAGTTGCATCTTTTGTAACCTAATCATGGAAGTGATACCTCATCATTTTGATCTATTCTGTGCATCACAAAAGCAAATCACTAGATCCAGCCTATACTTGAGGGGGAAGGATTATACAAAGGCATGAATACCAGGAGATAGGAACCATTATGAGTCATGTCAGAAGTGCCTACCCCAAGTATTTTTAAAAATAGAAAATAAGTGGAATGAAAAGTCAAGAATCTATATAAAAAGTGAGTTAAATAGGCAGCATGCCAGGGGACAATATGGCAGATGTCATTCAGTCAGTTAGCAAACGTTATAGAGTACCTTCTGTGTGCCAGGCATAACTCCAGATGCTGAGAATGCTTTAGTGACTAACAAATGAGATACCTGCTTTCATGAATTCCACATGAAAGAACTTTCCCAAAGAGGCTTTGCATGTTGAGAGGAGAAGGACCCAGTAGGTTTTAGTTTAAAAATTTTTTTTCTGAGTAAAATGCTTGAAGTCTAGGTTTCCTTTTTAGGGCAGCTGTTATAAAAAACTGACGTAGGCTGAGCGTGGTGCCCACACTTGTAATCTCAGCAATTTGGGAGGCCAGGCAAGAGGATCGTTTGAGCCCAGGAATGTGAGACCATCCTAGGCAACCTACTGAGACCTTGACTCTACAAAAAAATTTTTTTAATTGTCAACTGTGTATGGTGGTGCTCTCCTGTGTCCCAACCACTTGGATGGCTGAGGTAGTAGGATCATCTGAGCCCAAGAGGTCAAGGCTGTGGTGAGCTGTGATGATGTCTCTACGTTCCAGCTGGGCATCAGAGTGAAACCCTGTCCCTGCCCCCCACCCAAAAAACTTGAAGTAATAGAGAGATTGTTCATTCTTGTTTCCTCTTTTTCCTTCATGCCAGTATCCAATCCTTGTCAATCCAGTCAGCCTTGCTTCCAGAAATATACTCCAGCCATATCTACTTTCTCATTATTAGCACCACGACCCACCTGGGGTCTAGGGAAGAGATCCATCTGAGATATTTTTTCAAAACGTCACTGTGTGGGTGGTTTTAAAGTCATGAATCTTAGTCATGGATCACCAAGGGAATGAGTGTGCCTTGAGCACTTCAACATAAGAGGGGAGGAAGACAAGAATCAACCACAAAGGAAAAATGGCTGGTGAGTTCGAAATAAAACCAGGAAAATAAGACATTCTAGGAGACAAGAAAAGAAAGTAAGGAGTGAATGGTCAGCTTTGTCAGGTTCAGCTGAAATAGGTTACATTATGAGTGCTGAAAACTGTGCGTAGGGTTTAACATTTATTTCATTTGTGATCAGTAATAACAGATTTGGTGGCGTAGTATGGGTGAAAGCACAATTAGAGTGGGTCTAAAAGAATTTTCTAGGGAGGAGGATATTACAGACAGTAGAGAGGGGTTTTGCTACAAAGAGAAGTGAAATGGGACAGTAGTAGGAAGAGAAAGTGGGCTTCAAGGGAGTTTTTGCTTTTAAAGGTAAGAGAAATAAGAGCATTCCTATATACCAATGAGAGCAATACTCTCAGTGAAATAGGAACCAAAGTTACCAGCTAAGAGTCAGGTTAGATGAAGAGTTGTTAGAGATTTGAAAAGAGAGGAACTGTTAAATGGTTGCATAGGAGAGTAGTAAAGTGAATGTTCTAGAGAAGTATAGTCTGGCAGGCCGAGTAGGAGCCCGTTTGAGGTTCTTGGTCATTAATTTAAAGTGAGAACAGTCACCATGTTGTGTTTCTTCAGCTATGTTCATCTGTGCAGGAGCAGACATAGGATAGATTAAAAAATTGAGTTTAACCAGTATTGGAGTTCTGCTAAGGGAATGTGTTGAAGGGAGATTGGAGGCAGGGAGTTGAAGAAGTTGAAGATATATGTAAAATAATGATTATAATAATTGATCATAAATTTAAGCTGGATAACAAGGGGCAAAAAGCTATAAAGTCCGAAGGTGATTGTAAAAATGTGGAAGAATCAGTGTATTATGGGTTCCACAAAAGCTAAAGGATTACTGAAATTGGGATACTAAAAGGAATGGGTAGGAAATATGGAAAACGGTGGCTAAAGGGTAGGTAAGATGCTTGACATTGAGATAGCAGATTTGTTCTTATCGGTAATGACAGAGTCTAGGGTATGATGAAGAATGAGTGGCTGAGGATGGGCAGAAGTCAAGATCTTTGAGGAGAAGACATCAAGGGAGGGAAGATCACGGTGCTGAATGTGCGACTACAGATTACCTTGGGATTAAGAATTAATGGGTGAAATCCTGAGCCAAGAGAATTAAAATGTTAATTCGGGTACCTAGGGTAGATTAACCACAGGATTAGAGCATGACTGCAACAAGAGAGTGAGTTATATGTTGAGATAATGTAAGCTTCAAAGCTGTGTGTTTGGGGGACAGAGAAAGGAGAAAATGATCTGAAAACACCAGTAGGGAGGACTTATTCGACTTCTAGAGATATGGTCTGAGGGTTGTGAGAGAGAAAACTTGTTACTGCCTGGTTTTAAGTGTCCATTTGAGCTTGGTGATCATTATAGATTGGTTATATGAGATCCTTGAGCAAGTAAGCTAGAAGAATAGAAAAACATGGTTTAAAGTGGCTTTTAATTTATACTAGTAGTTGTGCTTACAGTGTCCAATGATGACAAGGTACAGAGATTAAATTTGACTGAGGTAGGGTTAGGAAAAAAGTTATTGGAGATGAGTTAATAGAAAGTTCAGAAGCCAAAATAGGATATTGGATGATTCATCCATATGGATATTGAAATCCAGGAGTAAGGTCAGAATTGGAGTAAAGATTTTGAACATTCAAGTTTTGAGTCCAGAGGTGCTTATGGTCACTTGTATGTAAACTAAAGTGCCATCTTTAGTCTGCTGTTTATTTTTTTCACCCTTTTTTAAAAATATGTTTAAATACACATAACATAAAATTTACCATTTTAGCTAGACACGGTGACTATAATCCCAACACTTTGGGAGGTGGGGACAAGAGAATTGCCTGAGCCCAGGGGCTCAAGACCAGCCTCGGCAACTTGGCAAGACCTTATTTCTACAATAGATCAAAAAATTAGCTATGCATAGTGGTGCACACCTGTGATTCTAGCTACTTGGAAGGCTGAGATGGAAGAATTACCTGAGCCCAGGAGATTGTAGCTGCAGTGGCCGTGAATGTGTCACTGCACTCCAGGCTGGGTGACAGAGTAAGACTGACTCAAAAAAGAAAAAAAAAAAAAAAAAAAGAAAATTACCATTTTAATGATTTTAAGGGTACAGTTCAGTCTCATTAAGCACATTCACACTATTGTACAATTATCACTACCACCCACGGTCCAGAAATTTTTCATCTTCCCAAATTGAAATTCCACACCATTGAGCAATAATTTCCCATCTCCCATTCCCCTCAGTATCTTATACAAATAGAATCATGCAGCATTTGTCATTTTGTGACTGACTTATTTCACTTAGCACAGTATCCTCAGAGTTTGTACACATTATAACATGTGTAAGAATTTTCTTCTTTTTTCTGTTGTGTACTTCGACCATGTTTTGTTTCTGTCCAGTGGATACTTGGGTCACTTCTACCTTTTGGCTGTTGTGAATAATGCCGCTTATGAACATGAGTATACAGATCTGTTTGAGTCCCTGCTTTCACTTGTTTTGAGTATATACCCAGAAGTGGAATTGCTGGATCATATGATAAACCTATGTTTAATTTTTTGAGGCACAGCCATACTGTCTTCCTTAGTGGTTGCACCATTTTTACATTCCTACTGGTACTACACAAGAGATCCAATTCCCCACATCTTTGCCAACACTGGTTATTTTCTTTGTTTTTTTTGGGGGGTGGTATGTTTTATTTTGTTTTGTTTTTTGCAATTACCATCTTAGATGTGAGATGGTATCTCACTGTCGGTTTTGATTTGCATTTCCTTAATGATTAGTGATTTTGAGCACCTTTCATATGCCTGTTGGCTATTTGTATATTTTATTTGGTAAAATATTTATTTTGTCCTTTGCTCATTTTTAGTTGAATTGTTTATTTTTCATTGTTGAGTTTTAGGAGGTCTTTATACAGAGGGTGCCAAAAGAATGTATATACATTTTAAGAAAGGAAAAACCTGTATTAAAATTGTAAAACTCAAGCCAGGCGCAGTGGCTCACGCTGTAATCCTAGCACTTTGGGAGGCCGAGGCGAGACGATTGCCTGAATCCAGGGGTTCGAGACCAGCCTGGGCAACTTGGTGAGACCTCGTCTCTACAATAAATCAAAAAATTGACTCGGCATGGTGGTGCATGCCTGTGGTTCAAGCCATTTGGAAGACTGAAACGGAAGGATCACCTGAGGCCAGCAAGTTGAGACTGTGGTGGCCATGAGCATGCCACTGACTGTAGCATGGGTGACAGAGTGAGACCCCTACTCAAAAAAATAAAAATATAATACTCAATAAGATGAATACAAGTTATGTTTGACTTCTGCAATTATAAGAGGTGCTCAAAGTGATTACCATCACCATCTAAACACTTCTGATTAAGGTGAACATCTCTTAACATCTCTAAAAATGTATATATTTTTTGGCATCCCCTGGTATATTCTGAATATTATCTTCTTCCTATTCTTTTTACCAAGTCCTGAGTTGAATATCACATTGAATTGCAAATTCAAAGGAGCAGCTTCAGTTCTGCTGGGACATCTCCTGCCTTTTTTTTCTTGGTGGCGGGAGAAGTAGATTGAAGCCAGTTGATTAGGGTGTTTAGCAGTTAACTAAATTTTCGTGGGGTTGAAACCTACCAATCTAGTGAGAAGGACTTAGCTTAATAAAAGTAACTGATTTGCATTTAGTTGATGTAGAGTGAGGCTCTGCAGTCCTTAGGGAGAGAGAGTACAGGATTTGCAAATATTCCCTCCCATTCTGTGAGTTACCTTTTCATTCTCTTGATAGTGTCCTTTGATGTACAGAAGATTTTAATTCTAATGAAGTCTACTTTATTGACAAATCCAGTGTCATGAAACTTTTCCCCTGTTTTCTTTTAATTTTTATTTTAGAAGTGAGTTCTTACTATGTTGTCCAGGCTAGACGTGAACTCCTATGCTCAAGTAGTTCTCCTGCCTCAGCCGCCTGAGTAGCTGGCACTCTCACCAACATTCCTGACTTTCTGCCCTATGTCTTCTTCTAAGAGTTTTATAATTATAGCTCTTAACATTTTAGGTCTTTGATTCATTTTGAGTTAATTTTTATATATGGTGTAAGGTAGATTTCAACTTCATCCTTTTTCTATTTTTTTAAGTAGAGAATCGAACCAAAACTTTCTGGCTATAAAAAATAAATTTTCACCAGGCACAGTGGTTCAAGCCTATAATCCTAGCACTTTAGGAGGCTATGATTGCCTGATCCCAGGGTTTGAAAAATTATCAGGCGTGGTAGTGCGCACCTGTAGTTCCAGTTACATGGAAGGCTGATGTGGAAGGATCTCCTGAGCCCAGCAGATCATGGCTGTGGTGGCTGTGAGTGTACCACTGTACTCCAGCCTGGGCAACAGAGTGAGACTCCAACTCAAAAAAATAAATAAATAAATAAATTTTCATTTATTTACCTGATATATACACAGGAACTTTTGCCTTATTATGGATAAAAACTGATTGGTTGATCTAAGAACTGACCTCCCATATGACCCCGCAATCCCCCTACTGGAAATATACCCAGAGGAACTCAAATCACTCTATGATAAAGGTACCTACACACGCATGTTTATTGCAGCATTATTCACAATAGCAAAAACATGAAGCCAACCGTGCTGCCCACAAAAGAGGACTGAATTTTTAAAATGTGGTACATATACATGATGGAATATTACACAGCCATAAAGAAGGACAAAATTATGAACTTCACAGCAACTTGAATGGACTTAGAGTCTTTAATACTGAGTAATCTATCACAGAAACAAAGAACCGAGTATCATATGTTCTCACTCATAAGCGAACCTTGAGCAACTATCGTAATACTTATAAGAAAGGGATTGGCAGTAGTGGAAAACTGCCATGGGAGGGCGGGAGCGGGACTGGCAGTAGTGGAAAACTGCCAGGGGAGGGGGGCACACCTCATCAACAAGGGTACCTATATAATGAACAGGGACTGGCAACAATGGGAAACTGCCAGGGGAGGGGAGCACACCTCATCAACAAGGGTACCTGCATAATGAACATTTGTATACCTAACCCTGAGTTGTGCCCCATTACATTTGGTGGAAGTTTAACAGTACTGCTAATTTTAGATCTCTGAACTGAACTTTTTTTTTTTTTTTTTTTTTGCTCTATCTCCTTAGAGCCAAGATTCTGGGTCTGATAATCGCATAAACACAGTCAGTCTCAAGGAAGCATTGGAAAGGTTTGATCACAGCCCAACCCCTTCTGCTTCCTCTCGGAGTTCAAGAAAATCATCTCACACGGCAGTCTCAGACCCCTCCTGTGAGTACCCTTGCTTGGAAGCAGACTTTCTAGGCCAGGCACAGTGGCTCAAACCTGTAATCCCAATATTTTGGGAGGTTGAGGCGAGAGGATTGCCTGAGTTCAGGGGTTCGAGACCAGCCTGGGCAACTTGGTGAGACCTCATCTCTACAATAAATCAAAAAATAGGCCGGGGTCAGTGGCTCAGTCTGTAATCCCATGCTTTGGGAGGCCGAGGTGAGTGAATTGCCTGAGCCCGCGGGTTCGAGACCCGCCTGGGCAACCTGGCGAGACCTCATCTCTACAATAAATCAAAAAAAAATTAGCCGGGCGTGGTAGCACGCGCCTGTAGTTCCAGCTTCTTGGAAGGCTGAGGCGGAAGGATCGCCGGAGGCCAGCAGGTCGAGGTTGCGGTGGTTGGGAGCGGCCACTGCACTCCAGTCTGGGCGACAGAATGAGACTCCAACTCAAAACAAACAGACAAACAAAAAAATCTAAAAATAAGTAGCGTGTGCCTGTAGTTTCAGCTACTTGGAACACTGAGGTGGAAGGATCGCCTAAACCAAGCAGGTTGAGGCTGCGGTGGCTGTGAGCATGCCACTGCACTCCAGACTGGGCAACAGAGAGACTCTGACTCAGAAAAAACCAAAACAAAACAGACTTCCTTTAAAGAGAATCCTTCTGAATTGTTGTAACTAATATCAGCATTTCTCATCAGACTGCTTCTTTAAAGATTGTACATTTCTAAAATTAACCTTTAGCAAAGAATTAAGTTCATCAAGTAGTCTCTAAAATATGTAAATTGTAATGTTGGTGTTGTTAAGTTGTTTTTAATCATCTCTCAAAAATAAAGCAAACTATTTATTTATTTTACAATAAAGCCAGTAAATGGTCTTAGGTTTTCTTTTTAGAAGTTTTTTTAGTGTCTTTATGAAGACATGTATAATTGTCTCTAAATTGGCAACTTTTTATGTTTAAAGTTTTCCCATTCCAAATATTTTGTCCTTATAAAAATAAGTAATGACAATGAATCATCTTATTATCATGGATTTCACTTTCATTGAATGATTTAGGAAAATAACTCAAAACATAGTTCTGTTAACCAAAATACATTTTGAGAGTAATCTTTGAAACCTGTATTTAGTAAAGTGCTAATATTGTGTGTTCTGTTTTATTGACAAACTTCAGCAACGCCCACAAAGATTCTGACAGACACGAGCACTCCGCCCCGGCAGCATCTGCCTGCTCATGAGAAGAGGACTCCAAGGAGGGCATCAGTTAGCAGTCAGGTAAGCTCATCAGTGAGGATTCTCCTGAATAAAGATTTATTAGAAGGGAAAAACTTTTGTCTAAATCTTCAGAAATTGTTTCATTATCCCTTTCTGTGAAGATCATTGAGGATTGTTTTATATCTAAGTTTAAATATCAGTTGTCTTCAGTTAAGTTCACATAATTTTTATTGAGAGTTTGTGCAAGGTACTGTGCAATTTCCTTGGAAGATGAGAGGTATACAGGGAACAGCCTTTCCAGTGTAGAGGAGAGACATAGCTGCATTCAACGAACATGAGTCGGAGGCAGTTTGTCAGTTCGAGGGTAGGCATATTATGCTAATGTTTCACTGATGAGAATGGAAATTGCTTCAGTGTTATTTTTTATTTGCTCTAGTCCATCAATTCCCAGTCTGTTGGTTCGTCATTAACACAGCCAGTGATGTCTCAAGCTGCAAATTTACCAATTCCACAAGGCATGTCCCAGGTATTGTTTGTTTGTTTGTTTCAGTTGAGTATTTAAAAACGATAAATGCTGTTAAGCTAATATAATTTTTTAAAGACTGGGTGCATTGGCATGTTACTGTAGTCCTAGTTACTCAGGAGGCTGAGGCAGGAGAATCACTTCAGCTCAGGAGTTTGAGACCAGCCTGGGCAACATAGCAAGATCTCATCTCTAGAAAAGTTTTTATAAAAAGCGGTGTGTGTGTGTGTGTGTGTGTGTGTGTGTGTGTGGTTATAGATGAAATGAATTATAATGGAGGGCATTTAGAATACCTGGGGACGTTTTTGATTGTCATAATGATTGTGGGGTACCACTGCTAGATGTCTTTCAGGATGCATGACAGTCTTGCACAACAAAGAATTGTCCATAACACCTCTCATTGAGAAACGCTATAGACATGAAACATGAGGGGTGACCCAAAAAAAGATGGAATTAATTTATTAAAAATGGTATATATATTCTTACACGTTTAAATTTCAGTCACCTTCAAAGTATTCTCCATTTGATGCAATATACCTATTGAGACGTTTTCCACTGCCCAAAACAGTTTTTGAGCTTGTCGATTTTGATGCCTTTTAATGCTTCTGCCGTTTTTTATTTTACCTCTTCCTCATCAGCAAAATGTTTCCCTTTGAGGACTTTTTTCATCCAGGGAAACCAAAAAAAGGTCACTCAGGGCAAGATTGGGTGGATAGTGAGGGTAGGGCATGGGGGTCATGCTGTTTTTGGTCAAAAACTGCTGAATACTCAGTGCGGTGTGGGGAGGTGTGCTTGTAAATCATTCATCATGAACTAGGCAAATACTTTGAAAGAATCTCCAAAAAAAATTTCACTGAAGCTGAACACAGCCTCTTACAACAATGCTAGCTGGTACACTGATGTCGATGGGTTCCTAGAACACTTATTTAGTGGTGGAAACCTGGTCAACAAGAGGCCTGCCCTCCAAAAAATAATTCTGTTTTTTTGGTGTTCCTCCTTGTGTATATTAAAGATGAAATATAGCTGTTCATTTTTATTTTCTTATGAATATTGGAATAATTTAGTAGTTTTATTTGTATAGGTTTTTTTTTTATTTGGAGTCTCAGTCTGTCTCCCACGCTGGAGTTCAGTGGCATGATCACGGCTCACCGCAGCCTTGACCTCCTGGGCTCAGGCAGTTATTCTGCCTCAGCCTCCCTAGTAGCTGGGACTACGGGTGTGCACCACCACACGTGGCTAATTTTTAAAAATTTTTTTGTGAAGATGAGATCTAGCTATATTGCCTAGGCTGGTCTTGACCTCCTGGCCTCATCTCACCCTCCCAAAGTGCTAGAATTAAAGACATGCGCCACCGTGCATAGTCAATATATAGGATATTTATTGAGTTCTTGTGTATTAACAGATACTGCAGATTCTGATGGTACAAATCTTTAACAGCTACACTGAAAGGCCATTGCATCTAGAGGGAATGACAGATACATACAATACCATGTTATATTGTCTATACTCCAAGCATGTAGGACCCTTAATGCAGCCTGAGGAAGTGAAGGAAGATGTTCTAGAGTAAGTCCAGAAGGAGGCCTAGCGGTAGAAATTAGCAAGAAAAGGGGAGTAGTTCTGAAAGTGGCCATGCGACTTTGGATCCTGACTTCCAACTTGTAATTTATGATTACACATCTTCAGTGCCTCTCAAACACGTAGAAGATACTACCAAGCCAGGCTCGGTGGCTCAGCCTGTAATCCCGCACCTTGGGAGGCTGAGGTGAGTGGATTGCCTGAGCCCGCGGGTTCGAGACCCGCCTGGGCAGCGAGACCTCATCTCTACAATAAATAAAAAAATCAGCCGGGCGTGGTAGCGTGCGCCTGTAATTCCGGCTACTCGGAAGGCTGAGGCGGAAGGATCACCGGGAGCCCA